TACTGGTTCTGTGGGCGTGGCTTGATGGGCGTGGTGTGGTGTGGCATGGTGCCCATGGCAGGGGAAGGATACTGCAAAATCTCCATTCCCTCCCCACCCCACTAACCTGCTTTCCAGCTCCATTCTTTGCAGGGCAGCCAAAGAAGACCCAGCCAATCAGCTGGGACTCGGGAGGCAGAGAATAGATGTGGGCAGGGTCAGTCAGAGGTGGTATTTGCCGGTTCGCCGAACTACACAAAATTTCCGTTACCGGTCAGGGGTGGGATTCAAATTTTTTAACAACTGATTCTATGGGCTTAGCTTAGTTGGTGGGTGTGGCTTGGTGGTCATGTGACTGGGTAGGAGTGGCCAACTCAACATCATTCACATCAAGGGGCGCTTCTCCCCTGGCCTCATGACAATGGGGATGCTACAACGGTCCTAAGTGTGAAAAACGGTCATAAGTCACTTTTTTCAGTGCCATTTTAACTTTGAATGGTCACTAAATGAACTGTTGTAAGTCAAGGATTACCTGTACAAACATACAAAAAGCTTCTTTGCTTGCAAAAGGCTTCCCTAAATACCAATCATTAGATTAAAAATACCTGCAAGCCATAATTACAAATCAGGCAGGGTGCCAGAGCACCTTGAGGAATTAAAATAGTTAAAATGCACTATCAGCAGCAAACTCTTGCTCATAAAGTGAAACCCTTTAGTAGAGAGGTCATTTAAGCTCTCCAGAAAGAGTACACCAAGGAAAAGCAATCCTTAGATCCATTTGCACCACTTAAAGATACCAGCTGGTCTCATTTACCTCACAAGATATCCTTAGGAAATCATCCAGATTTAAGGAAAGGTCACATGCCCCCTAGAAAGGCAGTAAAAAATTCAGTGCCAAGCTTGCATCCCGCCTCTTGGAAGTACATCCCAAAAGGACAGTGCCAGATACCACTATAGCAGTGAAGGAAGACCCCCTCCCCAGATAGAAAAAGAAACCATGAGGCAGGAAAAAATTCAAACACAATACAAATAATTAAATCACAACAATAGCTGTTGCTTGTTAAACCAGTTACCAGGACAAATAGACACAGGAACTAGCCAGATTTCTCAACCCAGTTTCTTTTCAGGAACAGAGATTAATCTTTTTCCTTCAAAACAAAGCTGAATAGGGAAAATTATCCCATCAATAAACACAGGATTAAACGTCACCAAGAATTAAACTTCACCAAAAAACAGTTTTAGACTAAAACTCAGAAAGGGTATATAAACTCACATTTGAATGTCAATCTTTCTAGCTAGCCAAGAAGCCTTCTGAATGTCACTATCTTGGTTCCTTGTCATTAAAAACCTTTCTGCACCTCTGCTTCGTTATTCAATTATTTCTTCAAAGTGCTAACCAACGGGAGTATTTCCTCCCAACAGCAGTGTAAAAAGCTTAAAACAACCCTTCCCCTTTAAGAAAGTATCAAGAAAGAAAAAAACCTCCTTCGAAGACAGGAAGTCTAGGCATATTGCCAAGAATGTAATAAGGGTGGAAAAAAACATAAGGAGATTTCTTTTCACAACATGTTCTCCGAAATGCTTAGAAAGTTAATAAGGGGTTCTATAGAACCGGTAGAATCCCACCCCAGCTACCGGTTCTCCAGAACTGGTCAGAACCTGCTGAATACCACCTCTGCTATAACATATTAATCAAAGCATTCACATTTATATGCAAAGAAAGCAGTCATTAGCACAAGACTACATTATGGCATTACAATAGCAAGTGTGCAAGTTAGCTGGACAACTGTTCAGGTTTGGTACTTGAATGATGATGGTGATAATGTATGATTGAAGTGTCAATGGGAATACAAATAGGCAAAGAGTTTTTAATTCATACAATATTGTCACTTTCTGTTAGCATTTGGGTCTCAAAAAGCTTCTGCCTTTTTTTTTTTTTTGAACAAATTTTTTATTAATTTTTAAAGACATACAAAACATACAAAAATTCAAGACATAAAAACATAAAAAATCTCTTTTCTGAAAGTTGCTTAATCCCGGGTCAAAACTCTTGGTACAGACACACATTCAAATTCATATTCATTTTACATACCATTCCATATCTTATTACATTTTCATTTTTCTATATAGCTTTTCCTTTCTTTTAAATTTTCTCAATTTTATTTTATTTATCTCCTCTCAATTCAAATCATAATATTTATTCTTTGTCTGTTCTATTTCCAACTATCCGTTTATCTTTTTTCTTAAAAGAAAAAAAAAGAAAAACCTTCTCCTGTACACTGATTGGAGTATGACGCCTATGTCTCTTTCCCCTATATTTATAATACTTGATTTAAAATACATAACTTACGTTGGGATTCTGTCTGGTACATTCTGACATTATACAATATCATCAAAACCAATACAAATCTATTCATTAATATTAATATTTATTCATATCTTAAACATCTAGCACATTTCTTATCAATTAGGTCATATATTTCTATGGGAGCACCTATTTGCCATATTAATTCCATCCCCCACATCACATATTATAAATCATTATTACATTACATGTTCCCCTCTCCTTCTTCAAACCTCTCATTTCACGAATAGTTTCACTATTATAACATAGCCTAATCATTGGTGTTAACAATCATTTATATCTTTAGACATTTTACACATTTCAATTAATTATCATACCATTATGGGAACACTTCTTATTCTTTCCAAAATTATTCCCCACCCACATCACCGATCTTAAATCATTATTTCATTAAAGTACTCCCCTCTCTTAACAAAAATTTCACTAAATTATACTAAATATTTATCACATTTTAAATTACATATTATTTCCAATCTTCTATAATTATTTCTAAATACAAATATAAAAATGCAATCTTATGTACCTTTCTAGAATCCCTTTTCCAATAAAATCTATCCATTATCTCTAAAAAACTTTTGTTTTTTTGAATTTTGCTCCCCACCATTAAAGCTTCTCATCCCTTCCTTTCTCCCTTGCTTCTTCTTCTCCTTATTCTCTTTACCCCCTTGTCTCTCCACCTCCCTTTTATCCTGTTTTCCCTCTTTCTGTTGTTTCCTAACACGATATCCTCTTTTCACCTTATTCTTCTCTTTTTGGATTGTTTTCCCAGGTCTTAAAGTCTTCTTCTCCTTTTTCTCCTCCTTCTTTTCTTCCCCAACCAAAGTCACATGTTCTTCAAAAATGGCTTCTTCTTTATCCTGCTCATACGATTTTACATAAGCACAGACCGCCATTTCTATAAACTGAAAAAGAGTGCCAAAGACATCTTTCCCTTCTTGCTTTTCTCTTTCATATTTTTGATGTATAAGTTTTAGTTCATCCACAACTGATGCCATTGTACAGAGAATTTTTTTTTTCAAAACAACCACCCAAGTGCTTTTAGTCTGAGATAATTCTCATAAAATCCAAAGTCATCAAACAGTCCAATCAGCTGATTCTTTTTAATACTTTCTCTTTTTCCACTTTCTCTTTTTGGGATAAAGTTTGATCACAAAGTTCTCTTTAAAATATATCTTTATCTTTATTGCTGTTTAATAGCTCTTTAAAATTAACTCTTTAAAGTTTTAGGCAGTCTTCTCCTTATTTTCAGGTTGCTCCAATTTTTTTTT